TTTCTACTGTAACATTATATAGGAACCCTTAACTCTGTGCTCAGTTTTTAACACAGTTGCTTGAAGTGTTTTCTGAATTATGTCAGTCCAAATGAGATACTCTCTGAAAAAAAGGTTCCATATTAAAACAAGGGTGAGAAATATTGTGTCCTACCCCTCTTTTCTCAGGGTTCACAATGCCCTGTTGACCCTGCCACGCTCATTCAGGCCCTGAGACCTTTGCACTGCCTCGCTCTCCCTCTAGTCTTCACTCTGTCACTTGGGCCTCAATGGTTCTGTCATCTCCTCTGACCTGTGATTGACTGCACTGTGTAATACAGTCATCCACTCACACTCCCGTCCTTTCATGGCACTTACCACCTCCTGCTATGCCCTTCCTTTCACTCTTCTATTTCCTTTCTCTCTCTGCCATCCCCACCATAGAATATAATTTTTCTGAGTTCAGTCCCTTAGTTTTACAGGAAAATAAACATGGTATTGCTAGCACTCAGAACACAGCTGAACACTGAAAAGCCAATCAATAAAGGTTATTTGCACCTTTTTGGAAATTGGTCAAGAGTTCTTGGCATCTTTTTAAACTCCTTTATGGCCTTCATTCCGTTCTCCTTGGCCAGTTTCATCTCTGTGATTCAGTTCCATACTGGGTAGTTTCTGTTGGCCTCTCCAGAGCCCCTCTTAGTATGCCAGGCACAATCTAAATACTCAATATGTATTAGTTCATGTCATTTTCCTAATAACCCTATAGGTACATGCTATTAATACCCACATTTTACACTTTACAGAGGATGAAACTGAGGCACATAGACATAAGTAACTAGCCCAAGCCCCAGTGTTTTAGGGAGTAAAAAATAAGAGATTGTCCCTTCTACACCTTTAGTCATGCTGATTCAGAATTCCTTCCTCCCCCCCCCCCCCACCTATCTACATCCTTATGATGGTTCAAGATCCTGGATACTGCCTCTTTCACAGAGCCTCTGCAGTCAGTCTAGCCAGCATTCTTTCCTACTTTTTTTACTCCTATTGCTCCTAGAATCACCATGACATAGTTTGTTCCTTAATTTATTCTCCAACTTATCAGCCCCTTGAGATCAAAGGTCACCCATTAGGATTTGGCTATCTTCTTGTCACATAGTGTTGGGACTACAGTGATGTAGCTTTTGTTTTATTATTTTTCGTTTTTATGTATAGAACTTCTACTGCCTAGAATTCCAAGGTGTCATCAGGTGACACAATTGCTTGTCTTACAAACCAACTGTTGAATTTCAGGCTTAACAGAACTCATATTGATGCTTGCCTAGCATTGTGCCTTGCTGTATACTCAGTAAATATTTGTCAGTGACTGTTAGACATTTAAAAATCTTTTAGTTGATTGATTTGATTTCAGTGTTAATTGTTCAGAACCAAGAAATTATGTGTACCTTAAATTCTGTGAGTCAAAGAAAATGTCTTTAAAATGGCGGGGAATAGAGATGAAGCAAATGCTCTTCTAATGCTTGTGATCTTGATACATTTAGGGAATCACCTTGTTAAGAGAAATATAGAATGGCCAGGGTTTTTATTTGGGTCAAAGAGTAATTTTAATTGTACTCTTTGAAACAGTAAAATACCTGGGTGGCAGGGATCCAAACCAAGGTGAACGGCTTCTCTATGAAATGTCCTAGGGCAGGTGTTCTCAGGTCCCTTAAAGAGTCAAAGATACTGAGAACTGCTTTTTAAGCAACAGGACTTATTCTGTAGTGAATAGACAGGTGTTTACTTGTCCAAGGGGACTTGGGGCTGTCTTTTACAAAAGCAGTTCCCTGTTTATATTGTTTAGATGATCTGTTCTGCCCTTGATAGCCGCCCTTTGCCCCTTTCTTTCTTACTGGTGCAAGGAACATGGCTCTCAGTGTATTCTGCCTGCAGAAACACAGTGAAGCATCTGTCATCAGAGGCTGCTCATCATCACGGAGTTGTGCAACTCATTTATGTTGTCAAGTGTAAAATAATGGGAACCTGTGTGTTCCCAATAATAAGTGATGTAACACAGAGCTAGCTTTAATGTTGCCTTTCAGGTGACTTCAAAACCTACCTCTTCCAGTTCTCAGATGTAAGGCTTTAGTCAAAAGCAGTGTAGAACTTTTTTCCCCCAAAACTATGTAATTTGTATTTGTTCTGAGCCTAACTTATTTACATGTGGTTTGATTATATGGATAGCTTTGGCATAATTTTTCTTGCCTGAGGAGGGAAGAGAGAGGTCAGAAGTGAAGATAGTGCATCCATTCACTAATTCCATGAATGTTATTTGAGGATCTGCTGTTTGGCAGGCATTGTCATGGACAAAAGAGGCATGGTGAGAGAGGGACAATTTAAAAAGAACGTACATTAATAAACTTTGATAGGTGCTATGAAGAAAACAAACATGTTACAATACAACATGGGTAGACTGGGTCAGGGTCCTCCTTTCCAAGGAGACAAAAAAAACTGAAGCCTGAAGGCTGATGACACCATCTTGAGGAAAAAAAGGAAGGGAGAAAGGCTCCAGCTCAGGGAAGCTGGCAATGTGTGCACATTTTTGTTAACCGATTATATGGTCCTAAAAATTGAGGTTAAAAATCACTATTTCTATGGCTCTTGTTGTTAATATGTCACAGCTTCACTGCCCAGCTCCTTAAAATTCAAGATCAACTCCCAGTGAGTAAGATACAACGAAGTTTGACCTCATTCTTGATATTCAAACACAGGATATCACAGTATTTTCTTTAATACCAATGTTTAACACCCTCCCACTTGAACTTTGGGGCAAGTGACTAGAAAGAAAGGACCTGGAAAAGCTGTCAGGGTAGTTTCTGTTATAGGTATCAGAAGATTAAATGCACATGGTTTATTGATTTACATAACTAGTATGGGGTCAGGCAGTTCCACGGTGGGTTAAGGGCTCCAGGGTCTCTGTCCTTCCAGACGGTCATCATTAGCCCCTTGTGGTCAGCATGGCTGCAGCAGTTTTGCGCATTTCCTTTTGACATAATGGCAGCCATTGAAAGAAGAGGCGTATTTCTTCCTGTGTGCTTCTTTTTAGAGATGAGAAACTTTTAGCTAGAGCATCTCCCCCTCTCCCACCCTCATTTCTCCAATCTCACTGGCCAGGGCTCCATCACAGGTCTCTGGCTATACTAATCACCATCCAGGAGATTGGGACCACTCAAATTAACTTAGATCACTCACCCCTGAGTTTGGGGAGGTGGTCACCTTGGGGAGGTGGTCACACTGAGGGGTGAACACCCAGCAAAATCAGGGGAAGCTCTGCAAGGAAACAAAGGGGAATAGACCGGAGGAGCCCAGGCCTCAGTATTACTGATGAGGGCCGAGTACACAGCTGTTACAGGATGCTTATGCTTTCTCTTGCATATTTAGTGATTGGCTGTTCCCAGCATTTTGGGGTGAAATGGTGAGAAGCAGAGGGTTTGGTGAACTTCAGTGTTAAATGACATCCTCAGCCTTACTAGTGCTTTCTACCATATCAGTAAGGTGGTATCAGGCACAGGATGCCTTGACTCATTTGCAGTAAACCTTTTTTTTAACTTAGAAATGTCTTATCATAAAACATATAAGCTAAATGAGGAAGCATATACAATGTATATATATAGTCTAAAAGAATAATAATAAAAGTCATACCTGTTTCTAGTATCTTTGAAGGTTCCCCACATGACCCTCCCTAGTCGTATTCACAACTATCCCTAGAAGCTAACACTACCCTGAATTTCAGAGTTAATCCTTCTCTTGTCTTAATGGTTTATATATGTGTGTTTCCCTAAGTTTATATCTCAAACTTTTTTATGAATCAGAATCACCTGGAGGGCTTAAGACACAGACTGCTGGACCCTAACCCCAAGGTTTCTGACTCAGCAAGTGTGGAGTGAGTCCAAAAATCTGCATTTCTAACAGTTTCTCAGGTGACGCGGAAGCTGCTGGCCAGGGACCACCCTTTGAGAACCCCTACCTTGGCAGAAGACTGCTGAGCTTTTTGCCTGTTTATAATTGGAAGCATACTTTATGTATTCTTCAACTTGGCTTTGTTTTAGCTTAGCATTATGTTTTTGAGATTCATCTTTGGTGATAGGGTAGCTATGAGTCATTCATTTTCACTATTGTATAGTATTCTCTTTCTGTTGAATCTTTACTCACAGCCCTGTGAGGGCAAAGGAAGAGAAGTGGGAAGCAAATTGCTTACAGCACCAACAAAAGCAATACCACACCCATCAAGCATCCAGCCCCAGCGACCCCTGGCTCACATGTTCCGACGTTGTTGCTGTCCTTGGAAAGAAACATTCTGAGGTGTCACCTGAGAGCCCTAGGCTCTCCAGGGGGTTTAGGAGGCTTGAGGAGTACCCTGCAGAGCGGGGCCTGCAGACCTTCCAGGGCCCATTAGTATAAAATAGACCTTTTATAACATTGACCTCCTCTAATCAAATCAGGATAGAAGGGAAGGTAACAAACGATATTTGCTTAGAATGAGCTAGACACTTTGTTGAATAAGTTGATTACAAAGGATCAGAAGGACTGAACTTCTGAAAGTATGAAAGAAATATGTTCTCTTTGAACTCTTCTCAACAGCCCTATATGGCATATATTTTTATATTTGTTTATAAAACATGTTAAGAAACTAATCCAAAGTCACAAACCTAATACAAGGCAGAGCCGGATTTTAAACCTGTGATTACAAATCGTTGTCTTTTCACTTTACATTGCTGCCTCCCTGGGACTGAAACACAGGCCTGCCCTATCCTTGGCATGTATCTGACCACCTGAGACACACTCCCTAAGGCATTTCCACTTTCTCTGAAAGCTGGTTCCAATTAGTGTTACCTGAACACTGCAAGCAGCTTTCATGGTTCCTTCCATAATTAGTTGGAATAGATGTAACATTAGAAAAGAGTGGGATACGTTGATACATTGTACTCTCTTTGTTGAACTTGAATGCCTGACAACTGACCATATTGTCTTGTGCTTTTGTCCTACAGGGGATTTCCAAAGAAAGTCAATAGAACCGCTAGAATAGCTTCTGATGAGGAGATTCAAGGCACAAAGGATGCTGTCATTCAAGACCTGGAACGAAAACTTCGCTTCAAGGAGGACCTCCTGAACAATGGCCAGCCGGTATGGAGAGACAGATTTGGGGCTTGTACTTGGAATATTAGCTACCCACATCAGAGAGCTCTTCCCTGACTTAGGTTCTTGCAATCTGTCCATGAAATGATTTCATTACCCCTAAACCTCAGTGTTCTTCTTAGCATTATGGCCTGAATCTGGGGGAAAGGGAGGAAAGTAGAAAGCCTTCCCTCTACTCAGCCTTCACTGTTTCCTCCTATTCATGAAAAACATTCTGGGAGTGAAGATAGCAAGTTGGAGATAAAGAGGAAAGGCTGATTTTAAGGTGGGGAGTAAAACAAAGGAGGAATTGCAACATTACAAAGAAAAAGGAACAGACCTGGGCTGGGTAGGAGGGGGAAGGCATGCTCTGGAATGATTTGTATCTAAGACATGTATTCTAAGACATGTACTGCTTCTACACAAAAACTATCTTCACTAAGGAAACAACCCCTGAAGTCTAAGACTGTCCTACTAGACCATAAATAGATAATGATTCAGTAATGAAGGAGTAATGCTTGTTCTACAATATTGTTCTAGTTTGTCAAAGCCAGACAACTAAACTCAAGAAAAAAAAAAAAAAAAAAAAAAAAAAAAAAAAAAGAATTACATTTTAAGGGGGCAGAATTGTAGAGCAGGTTTAGTATAGTATCTGTACGGTAGATTTGGGGCACCTGGGTGGCTCAGTCAGTTAAGCATTCAACTTCTGGTCATGATCTCACAGCTCATGAGTTTGAGCCCTGTGTCAGGCTCTATGCTTACAGCTCAGAACCTGGAGCCTGCTTCCGGATTCTGTGTCTCCTCTCTCTGCCCCACCCCCACTCATGCTCTTTCTCTGTCTCTCAAAAATGAATAAACATTAAAAAAAATTAAAGATAGATAGATAGATAGATAGATAATTCCTCCATTGGACTTAAATGTTTTCTCATCAGTTGTTTTTTTTTTTTTTTGTTTTTTATTGACCCTCCTCTTACCACATCCAGGTTATTTTTAAGGGGACAGGAAGAACAAGTCTCGCAAATAAGATTTCCCAGGTGAAGGAAAGGAGCCTTTTGTGGCTTTATTTTGGAATTGCCACTGGAAAAATTTGCCTGGCTCTTAAGTAGAAGAAAAGGGCGTCTTTGTATAAAATCTCCCTCTCAGATACCTTTTTCAGAGTAGAAAGCTCTCTATGTTAAATATGTTTTCCAGGAATTTTAATTATCTCACATTGATAAATAAAAATGTGAGAACAGACCATGTTTGATTAGAAAGGTGGAGGATGGAGGAGGGGTGCTGAATGCTGCTTTTAATTATTAGGGCATCCTAATCTGAGTTCAGGAAGATTAAAATTCTAATGAGATCTTGTGTTAGTCATTCATTTCATTGAGAATAGAAGATTTTCACAAAGGGGAAATATTTTTTCCCTGAAATAAGTAATTGCATGTGTAAATACACATACGCAGGAAGCTTTCCCTGCTCCGTCAATGAAAGCCTTTGAAAGATTAAAGCAAATACTTACGGGAACTTATTCAAGCCAGGTAAAGGCATTTCTCCAGTTTTTTGGGTTTTTCTGGACCTTTGTTTAAATATTCCTTATGGGCTAAGATTCTCTTGGTTAAAGAGTCTTAAGACTTCTATAGGCTGTGATATCATACTGTGTATATTATGTTATATATTTATATTTCTTTGTTTAGCAGTGAATGACATTCACACGTCCCATGGATTTCCACATTTGAGAGTTTAAAAGGACAACTTTTTCCTAGTGTTGCATATTATTCTGTTACTTATTTTTGTCCTCTGTAGACAGGGCTTGGATAGCCATATAGCCTAGTGGTTTAGAAACAAAACTGAAGTAAATCTGGCTTTTAATGGTAGCAAGTACATTGTGGGAAAGGAGTTAGTATAACTAGTTGATATTTCTGCTTATAAGAAACAGAGTGGAAAATATTCCACTCCTACCTTTGATATTGCTACAGCTCTCCATGAAAACATTAGAGGCATTTAAGAGAGCAGGTATTTAAAACTCCTTTTGAAAACTTGAATTCAATGATTCTTTAACAGATGTGAGAAAATTAATTTAAATAATAACATAGTGGCCTGAGGCAGCCCATGCACGAAACACCTGCCTCTACCTCTTCTTGTCTCCTGCCTCTTCTTCAGTAAATGAAATAATTTGAACTTCGGGACTGTTTGTCATTTGGCACTGACTTGTTTCACTTCCCGGTTTCAGCTGGGACTAGAACCAGCAATTACTGGAAACTGTAAATTTATTCAACATATTTTCCTGATTAGAGAGTTTCCAATAGAATTTGCATCGATGTTCAGAAGTTTGGAAGCTTACTGAAATAACTTGTCTATTTTTTCTTTTAAGATTCCGTCTTACTAATTCTCTCTTTTGAATAAAACACTTGTTTGTAAAATGCCCTTCGTGGGACAGAGGGTCTCTGAAAGTTCCTCCTAGAACTGTCAATTCTAAGGTTTTTTAGGACCAACACTCAAAAGCAGGAAACAGCCCACTGGACAGAACAAACACGTTGGCATAAGAACGGCCCCGCAAATATGTTTTGGCCGGATCCAGAGCACTGGCTGCTATACGTGAAAACTTTACCACTTTCTCTGCCTGATGGGCAAGCAATCTGCATCTGAGTAGAATCTCGAATTGTGGAGATTAGCTTTGGCAAGCGTCCCTCACAGTCCTTTTGCTAATTCAGCCATGTGCAGTCATTCTCTGTGGACTATTTGCCTACCTTCACCTGCCACACAGACAGCCTGGGAAGTGCCTTTAGAGGTGAGAACCCTGAAACAGAGAGGATCATCACTGCCAGCTGGTCTAAAATTCCTTATCAGAGGCTTGGAGCTAACCAGGCTGTTTTGAAGCTGTGGATGGTTATGAAAATAACCTTTCCTTAAAAAAATACTTTGCTATTTGAATATCTCTTTTGTCTATATATTTACCATTAAAGATTGGTATATGACACATATTTCCTATGTGGTTTCTGCCTTGTTTGCTTATTATATTCACCTTAAATTTGTGCTGTATCAGTCAGTGGCTCTCAAGATTAGTTACCTCATATCCCAACACTATATTAAGCCACAAAGACCAGAAGGAGAGGTGACAGACTGAACAACTGAAGGAAGGGAAAGAAAGAGACTCCTTTTATATATAGGTATCTGAAGGTTGAGGGGAAAATAGTTACAGAAAATATCAAAACTCATTTTTTAAGATTCTTTTTCAGGGTGCCTGGGTGGCTTAGTCAGTTAAGCTCTGACTCTTGATTTCAGCTCAGGTCATGATCCCATGCTTTGTGGTTTCATGCCCCATGTCGGGCTCTGCGCTACTCACAGCATGGAACCTGCTTGGGATTCTGTCTCTCCCTCTCTCTGCCCCTCCCCTGCTCACATTTGCTCTCTCTCTCTCAAAATAAATAGATAAACTTTAAAAAGTGTTTGGGGCATGTGGGTGGCTTAGCGGGTTAAGCCTCCAACTTGGTTCAGGTCATAATCTCATGGTTCGTGAGTTTGAGCCCCACGTTGGGCTCAGTGCTGACAGCTCTGGAGCCTGGAGCCTGCTTCAGATTCGGTCTCTCTGTCTCTCTGTCTCTCTCAATTCAGTTTAAAAAAAATGAATAAATAAAATTCTTTTTCATCAGGCAGTATATAATTATGACTTTTCTAATTTTGTCTTTTTTGTGACTTACTTTGTCTAGAGGTTAACATATGAAGAAAGAATGGCTCGTCGATTACTAGGTGCTGACAGTGCAACTGTTTTTAATATTCAGGAGCCAGAAGAGGAAACAGCTAATCAGGTACTGTGTTCATCTGGACTTTTTTTTTTTTTTTTTACGTTTATTCATTTTTGAAAGACAGCACAAGCAGGGGTGGGGCAGAGAAAGAGGGGGACACAGAGTCCGAAGCAGGCTCTAGGCTCTGAGCTGTCAGCACAGAGCCCGACGCGGGGCTCGAGCTCACGAAACGTGAGATCATGACCTGAGCTGAAGTCGGACGCTTAACCAACTGAGCCACCCAGGCACCCCCATCTGGACTTTTTAGAAATATAATAATTATTCTGTTCCCTCTCCCCATAGTCTTCATGGCCACTATTCTTGGGGCCAATTCTGTAGGAAGTAGAGGGAAAGTCAAAGAAAAGCAGTATTAACATCATCAGTCAAGGTCATAGCTAATATTTATTGAGCACATACCATGTGCCAAACAGTGTGTTAAGTGACTGCTAGAGTTACTGCAGTCGGTGATAACTGTTCTTTTTATCTTCCTGTTGATCACTTTATTCTCCCTTCAAGTATCTTTCTGTTTTTGCTGTCCTGTGCTTTCATGCAAAATCCTTTTGTGTGGAGAAACATATTTCACTGAAATTATTTGAAACAGCCAGTGAATATTTAGTCAAAGTAAACTATTTATTTATAGAAAAATTATGTCTTTATTTTCCTTCACATATACATTTATACGTCACTAATCAGCAGAAAACCTAAAATGCTATTTTTGTTCCCCCCAAAAAAGTCACTGCATGGATTTGATGTAAGCTGTTTTATAATCTGCACTGTTTCTGCTTGGAGTTTCCAAATGTAGTCTCAAGATTAAAGAAGGCTTTTTAAAACCTGTTTAAATGATCAAGTCAACTCTTATAGATGTTAAAAAATGGATCTGCCTTTAATATCTGAAGATTTTTCTGTGTTAAATATTGCTACTGCAAAAATTTCACTTAAAACTAGGTATCTTGCTAGATTCTTATTTCTGTCACTAGTCTTCACTTCTTTTTTTCTACCATTACAGGAAATTGGGTCTCCTCATGCTTCTGTAGGGAGTCCTCTGGATGGTCAAAAGGTTAATAAGCTTTTCACCTTTCTTCTCCTTCTGGTCTTTCACTGTATCTGTTATCTCGTGTTCTTTGTTTGCCTGCATATCTATCTTTCCTGCCACATCTTAATTGGAAATACTATGACCAGTGTCTAAGATCAGATGAACAAAATTACTGCAGTGTGATTTGTGTCATACATTTACGAACTTGAATTTGCTTCTGTCACTAGTGGACACTCTGAACTGTGAATTGTTTCTCATTTGTTGTACCTTTCTAGGGATAAACATGCCCATTCTTAAACTGATTCATTTGATAGTAATTAAAACAACTCATTTGCAGTTTTATTCATACTGTTGTATTTCTTCCCTCAAGACGACAAACTTTTTTTAAAGGTTGAGTAACTTCTTTAAGGAAAACCTAGCTGAAACATCTTTTATTTATAATTAAATAGAGAGTATTTTCTAATGGGCTGCCTTGTGTTCACTGTGCTTTGTAAGCAAGAGAACTGTAGGGTCCTCCTTGATCACCACAGGATGTTGATGGGTACTTTGTTTTTGTCTTTTTAATCACAGTTTTGACTAGACTGCCAATCCCATTTTTCTTTGAAACATTGGTGGAGAATAGTTCCTAATAGCTGCACAGCTGAGGAGGAGTTCAGAGGCTTTGTGGCCGAGGACTGTTATGAGTGAAAAGAAATGCCATTTTTCCCATTATTCATTTGATAAAATGCTATGTAATATTGCAGCTGCTGGCCACATGTACTGTTACCCTTCTGAAGAGCTGCAGCACCCCCCCCCCCCCCCCCCCCCCCCCCTCCCGCATCAGCTTTTACTCTACAGAAAGAAATCAGTGTTCCATCAGGTTTTATTCTTATGAACAGTTTGAGAATATAAAGCTGTTGCCTTTTTCTTTCTTTCCCCCTACCCCCCAAGAGACAAGAGAAAGAAATTCATCTTCATAGTTTTTTGGGGGAGGAGGATGATAAGACTTGAAGACAATTTGAAATATCATATATACTTACTTCCAGATGTTTTTTTGTTTTATATGGGACTGAGTTGGGCTCAGACTTGTTTTTAAGCTCCATGGTAAAAATATCACTGTCTTCTGAGTGCCTTATTGGAGGGGAGGGTAAGACTCATGAGACACACTGTACCACAAGAAACTGAGGTTGCTAACATGACCTTTATTTTTACCTGATGTAGGAATACAAAGTCTCCAGCTGTGAACAGAGACTCATCAGTGAAATCGAGTACAGGCTAGAAAGGTCTCCTGTGGATGAATCAGGTGATGACGTCCAATATGGGGATGCACCTGTGGAAAATGGAGTGGCACCGTTCTTTGAGATGAAACTGAAACATTACAAGATCTTTGAGGGAATGTCTGTAACTTTCACATGCAGAGTGACTGGGAATCCAAAACCAAAGGTAAGCTAAAAACATGGCTTTTTAAGAGTCCTGTTTTCTGAGGAAAAATTAGGCTTCAAAAGTACAGCATGTATAATAGGAGGAAGAGATACAGACTACCTTTCTCAGTACCCATGATGTAAAATGTTTAAAGTACTATTAAGTTCAAGGCCTTCCTCAGGAGGCATTAGAAACCAGAAAGAGCAGAAGAAGGGTAGAGTTTGGGTTCGAAGAATAGAATAGGAGAATAACAATTAAATAATTGACAAGGAGCTTTTCATACACCTACATCATTTATTCCTCATGTGATATTATCAGTGTCACTCCCAAATTACTGATGACTGAACTACGCTCAGTGAGGTTTAATCAACTTGCCCAAGGTCAGGGAGCTGGTGAGTGGCCAGGCTTGAACACGAACCCCATGCTGTGTACCATACAAAGAAATAAAGTTTACCATGGATTATAAAAACTTCAGGTCTTTAATCTATAAAACCAAGCCTTCCTGTATTTATAAAGGGGCTAGAGGCCAGAATACTGTTGAGAAAGGATAATCAAAGGAACTTCTGACACTCAGGTAGTCTAGGCTGACCTAGATGGGAGCCCTCTTTCTACAGATGCATGGAAATGCTAGATAAAGCATTGCCCTGTCTCTAAAGGGAGACAAGAATAACTAACTGCTCACTAGCCCAGAAAACAATGCACAGATTACACTTTTCCCTAGAACTTGGGAGAAAAGAATAAAAAAGATACCCATGAGAAACTGAAACTCCAAATTTACTTTAACACATGATATGGAGCCAAAAGCTGAGAAATTAATAGGAAATTTAGTCCAGGATGGATTAAAATCCTTAAGTTTCTGGCAGAAGCAAGCAAAAACTGCCCTATAGAACACTCTCACAGTTTGGGGCATATCAAACTTCTGTAGAGTAAGAGGGAGGAAAAAGAAATTCACAGTAAAAACTTACAGACCATAGGAGAAAATAAGCAACAATAAGGAGAATCAATAGCACAAGAAACAAGACAATAGAAGCTTAAGTATTGTGCAGTGTTGGGTAATCTTAAGCAAACTGTAAAATACCTGTGTTTAAAATGATTGAAACAATGTTAAAAGAAATAGAAACTTCAATGAAAAAAACAGGACAGTACCAAAGGCCAGGCAAATTTGTACAATAAGCATATAGAAGGGAAAATACACTCACTGAAATTAAAAGTTTAACAGTGGTGTCATAGAAAAAAGAGCAAAGAAAATAGCCTTAAAATTTTACATATGTATCCCCCTGCTAATAAAATGAGACTTTTAAAGTAAACTGTTGTTAGAGAAAACTTCTTTATTCTTGACATGATTTGGATAATTGCTGTGTATTCACAAATATGATATCCAATGCACATACTAAAAATAAATTTGCAGCTTATGAATGAAACTCAACAAGATATTGTTGTTTCCAAATATCTTAAGCTTCCAAAATATTCACAAATCCCTTGTTATTTTTAAATCTTACTCAAGGCTTAAGATCATTGCTTAAGTTCTAAGATCACCGATTCTTATTTTAAAAAACACCATGTTCACCAGAAAGATGAGCTGTTGTTTTTAACATAATTTTGCATTTCTGGTATGAATTTCAATGTTTCACAGCTTTAAGGCTTAATTTTTTAAGAACGTTTTATTGTTAGATTTTCTTCTTCACCTTTCCTTCCTCCTTCCCCTTCCTTCCTCCTGTCCTCACTGCCGCTCTTTTCCTTCCCTCCCTATCAAAGTGTGGAATATTCAGCATGTTCCAAAAAATACATCCTTTCTTTTAGCTTATGCTTTTAAAAAAAAAAAAATTCTGCCTTTTACATGCTTGTTCTGACTGAGACATGAGAAGGTTGAAAGGCGTTTCTAGTTCACCCTGTTTTCATCTTGTATATCCTCCCCTTCCCTCTCCATCAACAGTCTTGGTAAAATTGTTGGACTGTTTCCTAATTCTCATTTGAAAGTTGTAGTCCAGATATAGCAGAGGTGAGGAATAGGATTAAAGGAAAGAAACAGTTCTGAAGAACTGGCATAGTGGCCAGAATGCAAAAGGAGGAAACTGTGTTCTAATCACAGCTTCTGGGTTCCATCAGAAATAATAAAACCACCAAGCAGAGAATGATAATTATGAAGTATCATGCTTTACATAATTTAATTTTTAAGACTGAGAGTTATTAGTCTAGTTGGTGATTCATCTTTAGTTCTGCGGATTAACAATACAGGCTGTAAATTTAGAGCTAATTGAAAAATGGGGGTTGGAAGAGTTACAGCAGTCAGATCCCGATTATTCATGCCCTTATTTAGTGCTATATATTTCTAGCCTGTCCTTTCTTAGAAATGTATGCTTTGGAAAGATTTTTCAGATTCAGAAGCTTTGATAGAGAGTTGAATTTGAATGCCAGTTGTGGTCTCAATGTGCATTCTGATTTACATTAAGGAAGAAGCTCATTTTAAAAACTGAAGGCTCTAAAGGAGGTTTCTTCTGTTAGGAATGAGTTAGGAAAGCTTGAGTTTGCAAGGAACACAGATGACAACAGAGAACTTGTTGTGGCTTTAGAGAGGGGGATTTGTTTAGTTCCCTAGCCAGAAGTCTGGAGGCGGGCTGATGGCAGGCGTTAGTTCTGCATCTAGGCCATGGTAGGGCTGCTGACACTGTGATTCATCATGATGGCCCTGTGTCTCAACCGTCCAAAATAATAACTAAATCATGAGGGATCCGCCGGCCAGTGATTTTATTTAAAGATGACAAAAGGTAGGAGGACCTAGGGAAGAGGTAACTGGACCATTTTAAAATGTGTTATTTAGTCCAGATTTATTTTTTACTTTATTCTTCACATTTAATTTTCTATCAAACCAAGTTAAAATATTATTGAAAATTATTGTAAGTTTAAATACTACTGTGTTTTTTCTTAACATAGTGGGGAGAACTGACAAACACTCAACTTTGAGCATATGCTCCTTGGCCCAGAATGAAAACAGTAGGCCTCCACCCACCACCAACCCTTAACTGTTGCTCACTCCTCACTGCCATTTTGTCTAACACAGTTCAGTGGAATGGAGTAAGGAGTCTGTTACTGTTCTCTAAAATAACCTTTTTGGGGCACCTGGGTGGCTCAGTCAGTTAAGCATCCAACTTTGGCTCGGGTCATGATCTATCTCACAATTGAGTTCAAGCCCCGCGTTGGGCTCTGTGCTGATAGCTCAGAGCCTGGAGCTTGCTTCGGATTCTGTGTCTCCCTCTGTCTCAAAAATTAACATTAAAAAAATTTTTTTAAATAAATAAAATAAAATACCTTTTTACCTTTACAAGTAATATTTTTAATTCAGTACATTTGAAAATAGAAGCAAAAATGGAAAATGCCTGTGAAGCCACCCCAGAAGTTATTACTGTCAACGTTCAATCTAGATCCCTCCAGATAAATAATATGTAAAAAAATATGTCAGTAATATGTGAATACCTACTTACATACATACTTTTTAAAATATAAGGATGTATCATTTTTTAATTTTTTTTTAACGTTTATTATCGAGAGACAGAGACAGAGCATGAGCAGGGGAGGGGCCAGAGGGAGAGGGAGACACAGAATCTGAAGCAGGCTCCAGGCTCTGAGATGTCCGCACAGAGCCCGACGGAGGGCTCAAACTCACGAACCGCGAGATCATGACCTGAGCGGAAGTCGGACGCTTAACCGACTGAGCCACCCAGGCGCCCCAAGATATATCATTTTTAAAAACTAAAATAGAATTAAACCTGTTTCTCACGTACTTTTTTCACTCAAAAATCAATTTCCTGTTCAGATGTTCTGTTTAACATTTTAACATGAAAACTCAGATCAGCTCTGCAGATCACACAGTTATTCCTTATCAGTCCCCCAAACAGAGTAATACTACACACATCCTTAATCTTTAATCATTGTTTCCTTTCACAGATCTATTGGTTTAAAGATGGAAAGCAGATCTCTCCAAAGAATGATCACTACACCATTCAAAGAGATCTTGACGGGACCTGCTCTCTCCATACCACAGCCTCCACCCTAGATGATGATGGCAATTACACAATTATGGCTGCAAACCCTCAGGTAAAGATTAAGGGTATAGGTCTGGCTTCAGTTCTGTGCATAGTGTTTACAGGCATTTATTTGAAGAAAGGAACTGTTTAATTAAAAAGGTGGAATCTTATTTCTTTGACTTGAAATGATTTTCCCAAATTTTACATCCATCTGGATTTCAGAAGATAGAAAAATTCTTTATTAGTATCTATTTCATCAGGTGTTTTTCACATGAGTAATTCCAGTGTAGACGTGCATTCTTTCCACCAATGTTACTGAGGGCCTCATAGGTACACTTATGCAGGTGATGGGGTTGCAGTGCTGGACAGAAGAAAGTCCTGAGATAGAAAGTAAGCCAGTAAACAAATACATAAATAATATAATTTCAGATAGGATTAAGTTCTATGAAGGAAAAAAAAAGGAGAAAAGTGTAGTGAGTGACATATATCAATAGGCTGTAGTAAAAATCCTCAAAAAAGTAAGATATTTAAAAGAAATACAGATACACTTAATTCACTGGAATTTAAGTCGTATATAAGTGTACATAAATTATAATTTTGATAGCATCTACATATGGCATTCAGGATTATTTGTTTCCATCCAAATGTTTTCTCTTGTATTTGCCCTTAGATTTAGGGTCAAAAAACCAGCTGACTCCTTTAGAATTTAACAGGCAGCTACTGGTACCAAGTCCCCAGTTCAAGCCTGCAGATTCCTTTTTGAGTACTGTATATATTTGATACACTTTGCTGGGTACAGAAGATGCAAAAGTGAGTAAGGAGTGATTCTGTACCTTAAGACCTCCATGTGTGACAGGGTAATTTTACAAAGTCAGCAGAAGTCACTTTAAAAAAAAAAAAAAGAAGAAGCTAAAATTAACAATTATAGAACTAATGAAGATTGTCCAGTTATGTTTTTTAAATCTCTGATCTATTTATATCATTCCATATTTCATTATTCCTTTAGAAGGAAACATGAAATGTTAGAAAATGATACAAATAATTTCAGCAAAGCTTATAGACCTCTAACAGTTTGTGCAATGTTTGTCCTAATATTACATTGTCATATAAACATCTGTTTCTGCAATACAACTAAGATTAGAATGGAACTCGAATTCTCCACAAATGAGGTTGTGAGGGAGCACAGCCGACTTCACTGTCACAGTTTCCATGGTAAATATGCACTTTCTCCAGGTTCCAGTTTTTCAATCGGTGAATACATGACCATCACCTTGAAAAATAGTCAAAAGCGCAACTCTTATTGAAAGTTACATTTTAATACTTATTTGTGTTCATATTTGGAGGATTTGAGGGAACAGAAGTGCAACTTGCTTTTTTTTCTTACTGTATTTTCAGTATGTTTCCTTGAATATTATTAACAAATTTCAATTCTCAATTTTCTGCCTTTAATTAAAATAATAGAGAACTCCACAAAATCCAAACTTTTTCTTCATGCTGGGTCCTTTGTTCCTCTGTCCCCTAGAAAGCCTGGGATATATTATGGAGATCGAATTAACTGTGTTCCAGCACTCCCCAGTGCTGGTCCCGATGTTAATTTTGAGGCATTTTTCCTAGTGAATGTTTTAAACTGTTACTGGAGTCAGCGGTTTTATAGAACAAAGAACATAAATGTAAAATTGCAATTATGAGTCTGCTTCTAGTCTTCTTCAAATTATACTAACCTAGTTTTACATATGGAAAAGTTCTAAACGGGGAAGGACTTGCTGCTCATGGCCAATGGCAGGGTGCAGAGTTGGAGACTGCGTGCCAGCCTCTGAGCATTTAAACTACTGACAAACTAGTTGAAGTCATTCGATATCTATTGAAGTCATTAGATACAGGAGGGCTGCTGAAGATCCCCTTTGTAATACAGAAGAGGAGGAAGGGAAAGAAATAATACCACAAAGGCCAGAAATATCGGACAGGGTTGATGCTACCGAAGAGCCTAAATGTTGTCATTCAGGGGTTAAGAGCATGAACTCTGGCATCAGACAGATCTGAGTTGAATTTCTATCTCTGCCACTCACCACCTATGTGACCTTTAGCAAGTGGCATAATTTCTCTGTGCCTATTTCCTCTTCTGTGAAATAAGAGTAATAATATGGATTTAAATAATATACTTGGTTTACCTGGCATATAATATGCTTTCGGTAAAAGCTAGTTATTGTCATTATTTTAATTCAAAGACACTAATAACCCTGTCTTAAAGCAGCAGCCCTAAACGTTGGCAGGAGCCTGTGGAATCAGGATGTGAAGGATCAGTTCTGTTTCTAGATACTCCCCTACAGAACTGTTAGAGAGTAGGCAAGTCAGTTCAGGATGGAATTTCTACCCAACATGTTGCTGGTGTGTGGTCTTCTGACCTCCTGGCTTCTCCTCCTTACCACCCCCATGGGAAAGGAGTCAGGCAGCAGATGTGACCGTGCCACAACTGCCACAGCTGTGGGCTTGGGTGGAGGGAGCTGGGAGCAGGAGACCGGCCACACCCACAGCACAGCTGACGGGAGCCACACAGGAAGCTGGGAAGTGGCTTTGCTCCCAGCACGCTCAGGGCCCTCATCTCAGTCCCTAGCCCCCAGCGAATTCTGCTGCTTTAACCAAGCCCTGGGGTAAGTCCCTCCCTTAACTCTCTCTCAATCTTGGCCTCTACCCTTTGAAGAGGAGACAAAGGAATGAGAAGTGCACCAGTTTACCTCAGGTTGCCAAAAGCCCAGCCCTTCTAACAGAATGCCCATCTCACCTGGGATTTCAGCAAACAGTAATGTGACTGCCCTGGGTCTGTCAGAGGGAGCAAAAGATTCAAAGAGCTCCGAGGCCACAGTAACCAGAGCACTTCCTGATACCAAGAATTCCAACTACCTCTCAGTGTGAGTTGATCCACCCAGTATTCTAACTTAAAGAGGGTGAGGCTAAATTAAGTCTCCTTTTCTACCTAAGGACCAGGGGCAGGCATAGGAGGGGGAACTTGTGAAGAGAATCTGAGGAAATCCTAAAAGTGGGCATGCAGGCCTCAGATTGAAATTGCTGTGAGAGAATTTTTAGATTTAGGGTACTTGGTATTACATGCCATTCCAAGTCTCAGCATGTTGCCTGGTTGATTTTAGTTTCGAGAGTAAAACTCCTTTCCTCTCCTGGCGTCTTCAATACTGAGCAAGTATGTGCAAATATGCCACATGTAGGTTTTGTGAGTTATCACCTAGAAATTGGAACAAACTCTACCATTCATTAGACGGACAAAGAGGTATTTAAACCATGACAAACAGCAGACCATTATCATTTGTTGCTATAGGAATACCATAATAGAAATGTTTAACAGTGTTTTATTTCATCTCTACTTTATAACATCTTTTATTGTATATTAAAGTATTTTGCCATTTTGTAATTTGATTTAAAAGAAGCATGATAATAAGGCACTGGAAAACATTTACAGAGTCAAAGCTGAATTTTTCAGGATACATTAATCATGAAGGCATAACATACAGTCAAAAGAAAACTTAAGTTGATTCCCCAATTCCTTGATGGCATTTAGTTACCTTAAACTTTTTTTTCACATTTTAAAAGCATTCAGTTTGAAAGGGAGACCGCTCCTTCTATTTTTTTCTGGTACACTGGACTGTACATGACGTGGAATGACCAAGGGAAAGAGGAAAAGGCTGGCCTGGAAAAATGAGTTCAGTAATGAAACACAGACGGCAGGGCTTTCCTGAGCAGTGGAAAATAATTACACAAAGCAGCCGGGAGAAAGGGTGAGAACCAAGGAAAGAGAGAAATACTAAAGGTTAGCAGAATATTTTATAGAATATTTTTCCACCTGGGTTAATCTTTGGGGAATAAGAAACACGTTAGATATTATTGACTGCATCCAAATTCTACTTGGGATGGAACCCACAGCTCCAAGCACATACTGGACTGTGTATCACACGCCATGTATGCGGCTCTGGCAATTCATGAGAGACCAAAGCAGTCACATAGTTTAGTGAAACAATGAGTGATTGTGCGGTGCTACACCAAACATAATGCCAAAATGAGGATCGCACACTCGGTTTAAGACGCAAGTAAATCTAAACATGAATGTTTTACTTTTTGTTGTGTTGCTAAGTTACGCTGTGTTGCGCTTGGAGTTTGGAAGGGCTGTTTTGCAATTTGATGTTTCCTCAAGTTGCATTATGTATACAAGTGGCAAGCTTATATAAAGACCTGTGTGCCACAGTTAAATTTCATAAGCTAGGAAATATAAATGTTATTTCCATATTATACAAATAATTGGCTTTGCGTGAGGCATGAATAATCTTTACAAGCTGAATGTTTAATACATAATCACTTTAAGAATTCAAGCTTATTACTTGTTCTATAGCTTTAAACTCCGTGGATTTGTTTGGAATAGAAAAGTAACACACAGCTGAATTAAATTTAAGAAGTTGGTTTGCTTGTGTTTTGTTTTAGCATTATAAGGTTTCCTGGCTCGTTTCAAACTTTGAACATTCACTTCCATTACTCCTTCATGTGTTAATAATAAAGTAGATAGAAATGAGAAAGTTAAAAGCAAATGCAGCAGCATTAATGTCCATCAGAGCCCAGCAGTCACAAGGATTACTGGGGTTCATTTGCACATTAATATGATTAAAATTTTGTATGACCTTCATAAATAAGATGGTCAGACTTAAAAATCTGAACTTTCAATTGCATACACCAGAGGCATCCTTTCAACAGTGTTACAGTGAATTCTGGGATCTTTTTTCTAACTAAAAATATCAAAATTATGAGTTTGGGTGCTTTCTAATTTTTTTAAATGCTTATTTATTTTTGAGAGAGAGAGAGTGACAGAGCATGAGCAGAGAGGGGCAGAGAGAGAAGGAGACACAGAATCTGAAGCAAGCTCCAGGCTCTAGGCTCTGAGCTGTCGGCACAGATCCCAATGCGGGGCTCGAACTCATGAGCTGTGAGATCATGACCTGAGCCGAAGTCGGATGCTGAATCAACTGAGCCACCCAGGCGCCCCTGGATGCTTTCTAAATGCTCCTGGTCATTTACTGATTAGTAATATGTATTTAGCCAATAATACTGTATTATCAAACTAACAATTCTGCTTCCTGAAGGTCATGACTTCCCCTTTTATGTTCAGAAGTGAAAGATGGTGTAGGAGTTAAAAACGTGACAAATGGTGACATACTCCTTTTTCTTAAATTTGGGTAGTTAGGAAGATACTCTGTGGCACTATTTGTGTATATGGTTCTAAGCAGTAGTGTAGAAATCTTGAAAACACTGTAGAAATGTGTGATCTTGACAAAGCAGTATACCAACCTGTTGTTATTTTTTGGAGATGGAAGAAGAGGCAGGGTTTATCCTAAGTGGAGTCTAGTGGTTAGAGTTGAGTAGGACAACTTTTATCTCCATACCTCAAATGCAGCCATTACATAAATACAGTGACTATACCCGTGTGCTTGGCACCTTTCAAACAACAGCATAAGTTTTTCCTTTGGAGTAAATTATATCCTAATACCGAAAGAGAGAAAGAAAGAGAGAGAGAGAAGGAAAGAAGAAAGAAAACCTGTTGCATATGAAAAAATAATTTTTTTTGAAAAGAAAATGTTTTTAAAACAATTCTAAGGGATACTTCATGTCCATCTGGTTGTTATTATAATTATATCCATATTCAGTGCTATAATAATTTAACATTTTGAGTGTTTACTGTGTGCAAAACATAATACTAAGTACTTTACGCCTACTAACTCATTTAATCTTCATAAGAACCCCTGCAGGATTGATTAACTATATGGTCCTACTTTATCGATGAGGAAACTCAGGAGGTTAAATTACCTGCCTAAAGTCACTCAATTATAAGGGACAGAACTGGTTTATAAACCTAGACTGACTCCAGAGCTAAGGAGTGTCCTACAAAGGTGTCTGAGGCTCATCCCAGCATTAAGAGCACTGAGGGGCAGGGAAGACACTCATTAAAAGAGTTATTTTAAGGAATTAAAAAGGGGGGGGGGGGGTAAAAGCATACTCAGGCAAAGTATAACCACTTGGAAAAATTTACTGCAGTCAACCAAGCTGTTGGGACCCCTGAAAATCATCCTGGTGCATGTCTGTGCATGTATAATGTCTCAGACTCACAGTAAAAATACCAGCAATGATTAATAATGGTAACTTGGTAACTTATGACATCAAGTACCATTTGATATTTGGAAGATGAATATCATCTTGGGTTACATCATTTAATCTTTACAACATCCATGTGAGACAAATATAGTGCACTGGTTTTTACAGAAGAAACAAAGGCTTGAACAAATTTGGTGATTTGGCCAAAATCTTCGGAAAGTCAAAACTCAAATCCAGGTTAGAGAAAATTTTCTTCTCTGCTTCCCCAAATTCAAGGTTAAAGATTGAATTTAACTTACATCTTTCTCTAACCACAGAAATGATAACTTAATGTTAACTTCCCTTGTGGGTCCTCTGGGTTTTACACAACGAGGAAAAATGTATACAAATTATATAAATCTATTTTAAGATATTCAGATTAAAATTATTTGCTTAAGTAGCAAAGCAAATACTAAGGAAGTCATATCCCATATCAGTACAATTTTGAAGCTATTTGTATAAAACAAAATATAAAATTCCTTGCCTTTGGCTTCCAAAAGAACCATGGATCTTACATGTTCACTTGTTAAATCAGTTACTACAATGCATCAATTGCATAATTTTAATGGGGGTCTTCTAAACAAGTCATGTCTAGATTTTCTGTAGCAGGCATAAGACTTAGAGGCGTTAGAGAAAATTAATTTTTCAGATTTCAGGCTGGCTTAGGGGGGCCTCCCAAGGGTTTGGCAAGAGATTAGCATGAGAGAACTGACCTGAACTTCAGATGCAACAAATCTAAATTAGAAATAATCCCTCTCGGGGTGCCTCGGTGGCTCAGTGAGTTAAGGGTGTGACTTCAGCTCAGGTCATGATCTCACCATTCGTGGATTCAAGCCCTGCGCCAGGTTCTATGCTGACAGCTCAGAGTCTGCTTTGGATTCTATGTCTCCCCCTCTCAGCCCCTCACTTGTGCTCCGTCTCTCTCTAACAAACAAACAAACATTAAAAAGAAATTTTCTTAAAGAATCCCCCTCATAATGTTCTACTTCATGTCTCCTTGGAAATTTTCAAGAAAGGCCATGTTTAACTATGACCTCAGTAGCAAGTACTGTGAATGCCAGGGTAAGTTACATATCTAGTGGGATAACACTTCTTCAGTTTTCTTTCTTTATGACCACCTCTTTCTATCTGATAGCCCCCGGTTCTTCTCCTGTCTGTATTACAGCACTAAGTGTCTTTGCCTTTTCGGAGCGGTCAAGGCCCCAGAGAAGTCCAGTCTGCGGGGAGACCCTGACAACCCTGCTGACTAGATTCCTGCCCTTCGCTGAGTCCTGCTGTGGGGTTTCTGTGTGTCCCCTCCAGCACTGTGCCCCCCTCACGTAGTTCATCATCGGCTGGAACTCAGAAAGCAGCTCCTCAAAGCATACAGCACACCTTTGCTCCTGTTACCTGCCAGTACTGGCAACTTGGAATGAAAAGGAGATTCACTTGTCAATTCTGACTCTAAGTGCACATGAGGGCAGCTCATCCACTATGAGCTAGAAATCACTGAGTCTGATCATTAATAATCTGCTTATCATTTTTCCTCTCTTGCCGTTTCCTTCCGGCCATCATCAGAATTTAGAAGTACAACTGCTCACATTCTCCTAGGATATGAGAGAAGAAAATCACTGATTTTGCCACTCTGCTAGTAATCGGGGAAAAATTAAAAGAAGGGGCTAAACCAAAAAGCCAGAGTAACAGTGGGGATTTATTCATATCATCTGAGTCCTCTAAGTATTACTTTTGTCTATCCTAGGAGAACATTTATCAATTTTTCAATTTTTCAATTTGACAAGCAACTTTAAGAGAGAAAATTTGAGAGAGAAAATATGGCTTTTCATTACATAGGCCCATATCATATGACCCCCCCCCCCACATATTTTAGATATTTAACTGCTTCTGATTTTTAAGTCATGCGAATATGATGACCTATGTATGGGTCATTATACTCTCCTTGACACCCCCATGTGTATTCTCACATAATGTTCATTTTATCATGCTGGCATCTCTTTAATGTATGGTTTTTGGAAGAAACACTACTCACATTTAAAAAATATATTACTAAAAAGATATGTTAGAAAACTAAAATCATCTCGTTTGATTTCAGAATTAGCTACAACCAATAGATATTTGACCATGAAAATGGAATTATCGCAAGAGAGTAATGTCCCCCTGCCATAGTTCACAATCCAACATTGTGTCTTAGGGAGACCATAGCAGATTACAATGAATTTGTGAAGGATTGTCATTTAAAGACCATTCCAGATAAAACAGTAAAGCTTTTTTAAGAGTCCTAAGTCAGACCTAGTCACTGAGTTCCTTAAATACAGAGTGCACTGAGGAGTTTAACTCAGGGAAAGTACATTTCTGAGAGGGATTGGTGTCGTTACTAATATGGTCTATTTATTGGTTAAGAAATAATGTCTTATGGAGAATAGGACAGTAAACACGGTGGTGCTTGAAGGTTAGTTGTTTTGCTTGCAAATCATTTCTTTTCCTGATGTCTCTGACAGGGCCGCATCAGTTGTACGGGACGGCTAATGGTACAGGCTGTAAACCAAAGAGGTCGCAGTCCCCGCTCTCCCTCAGGCCATCCTCATGTCAGAAGGTATTTCACACGTTGCTTCTCATAGGTGTTACTACGGTTTCATTTCAGTTATTACTATAAATTCAACACTACTAGAACCGTGATATGACCCCAAAAGTGAACACAGTTGCAAGACAGAAGAAAGTGAATACAATCTTAAAATGATACATTGTACGGCTCCCTGATTATTCTTGTCTGCAATTCAGAAACGGGAAAGGAACAAACGGTTGCCAATGTCGCTAAGCCCAGTTAGATATACTATCACTAATTTGTTAATTGGGGCCCAATTTATGTATGAAGATATCAAGACTCAACACCTTTAAATGGCAGCACATTAATGTGAAAATACCAGTAAACGATACACAGATATTCAAAACCAAACTTCTCCAACCAACAGCTGTCTAGACTGCCCATTACAAATTATTGCCACTAGATTTCTTAAAATCAGCTAGTTTCCTAATGTTCACATTTCAGTCACTTCTAAAGAGTTTATTTTAGATGACAGTTTTGTAGGCAAGGTGTGTCCTATTTTAAATGCTCAACAGATACTTGCTAACAATAGAGTGTGCTTTCTAGTCCTAGTTAACCCTGAGTTTGTGCAAGGATGTTGATGGAGTAACAGTAGGCAGAGACAAGGAAAGGATATTGCACTTAAAAAAAGAATATGGTAAGTCAACCAGCCTGTCATCTTGGGTTCCTATTTAGGCATTTTACACAGTATGCTCAAATAGCCCAGACAGTAAACTACAGGCCACAGATGCAAACACTTTTGGTGAAGAGAATGCATACTAAGTTAGGCTCACAGAAGGTAAGCACCAAACAAGTGGTGTTTCTGCACCTCCTCGTGATTGGATGCACAGAGTCCTTTGTTCAACAATTTGGAAGACAATTCTGGCTCTGAAACACACGGGGGTTTAATTCTAACTTGTTTGTGACAGTGTCTGTTCACAGGAACCTGTGCCTGTATGTGTGAACGTAAACACAACATAGTACCACATCCATGCTCTTGCATTTTTTTTTCTTCTGCTTCGCTTGTGTCTTCAATACATTTAAGACTGTCCATGTGCCAGTGTCTCCTAGGAAAGCATTTTGTTCATAAATTAGACCTGTAGTTAGAGAAGAGGAAACTACCTAAAACTGGGAATTACTGACCTATTAATTATACCGCTCTTGCATTTGTTCTGCTTTTTCTGGTTAAATATTTTTAAACTTCTAGTGATTAGTGACAATCTTATTCCTTTCTTACATCTTCCCTGCAATTACTTTAAATTTTATTGCTCTTAAAGGTGCCTCTAGCAACATACTTAAAAGTGAGAGAGGTACACAAAATCTGGAAGATTTGCACAATTTTATTTTAAAGCTAAAAAATATATAATTTGTTTTCCTGGTTAATATGAAAAGGAATTTTGATTGGAAAGATCTGAAATTCTTACAAAATAATAAGAAATGTTAATTTCCTATAAATTTAAAATCATAGTGGGAAGTTGTAATTACTACTGAAAAAGATTTGGCAAAAAATGAGCAGCAGTTGTTGCTACTTCTCATATAGCTTTCGAAAGTATTTAGGAAAAAAATAGGTTAATATAGAGTACTTCATTTTTTCCCATTTCCCCTTTTATTATTCATATTAGTTCTAAGAATTAGGATAGCAGAGTTATTTAACACCAGAAAGTAGCAGACTATTAAATTTCTAATAAACTTGGAAATGAACAAGGTTTTGCTTTTTTGACTTTATGTGTAAACTGTAGGAGTAAGAATCAGGTAAGGAAATTATATTATTGCTCCACATATTATTAAAAAAATAAATGACTGAGAGTCTGAAAATAACTTCTATCTTCCCCTCCCCCTCCCTCTTTGTTTTCTTCCTTTCCTTTCATCTTTCTATCTGTTTATTATCTGTCTTGTGCTAAGGCCTCGTTCTAGATCAAGGGACAGTGGAGATGAAAACGAACCAATTCAGGAGCGATTCTTCAGACCTCACTTCTTACAGGCTCCTGGAGACCTAACTGTTCAAGAAGGAAAACTCTGCAGAATGGATTGTAAAGTAAGAGCTGGTTATTGCCTGCAAATCTCTGGCTTCCCTTCTCCCCTCACTGACATTACTCTTGAATTCCTTTTAGGGAAATTATGTAAGGTATACATACATCTTTAAAATGTTTTCCAGCATACATCAGGGAAAAAAATGAAATATACTAGATGTTTATATATTGTTTTGTCATTCTTTTAAATTTTTACTAAATGTTTTCTTTCTTTAGAACTCTAAAACAAAGTCACTGGGAGGTTTTTTCCCTTTAAGTTTCCAATTTTGTTGAAGTAGTAAATGTGTTAAATCTGTTACATGTCCTAATAATTTATCTTCATTCTTTTTTCATATAAATTTTGTAGTCATGTATTTACTCTTTTATTCCTCCCATTTCCAAGGTTAGAGTGACATCCTTCTCTCACCCTTTTTACAGCAAGGCTTCTTAACCCAGGGTCCTTGGGGAGGCAGCTTTCATTAGGTGTGTGAGTTTTGAAATTGCATACAAAATTATGTATATGATATAGCTTTCACCAGTTTCTCAAAGGAGCTCAAGGCCAGAAATGTTTAATTACCACTGCTCTGAAATTTTTTATGATTGTTTTGGTTTTTTGCCCCATTATTTATTATAAGTTTTAGCTCTTAAATACGGAAAAGGTTTTTAAAAATTATTTGGGGTCCCTCTGCTGGTTCTGTCTGGGATTGCAGAACACAAATGTAAGGTACTTGAGTATTAAATCTAGGTTTATAGAAATGTGTTTTAAAAAGTACTCTTCAGAAGTATTTTATTTTCCAACATAATTCTCTCTACAGTATAAGTACAAAAGTTGAGTTTCAGCATCTGTGTATTTATATGTATATTTTTGGTCTATAATTAATTCATATAGACTACCTGTAAGATGACATTTAACAGAGTAAATTTTATTTTAGTTATTAGATGATACCAAGGGATTATTACTTCATGTGTAAAAAGGTCTAAAAAAATCTACATTTTTTTAAGAAAAAAATTATCAGTATATGTAAGCTTTAAGAAGAAAAAAATCAAAGTAAGCCTTATATCACTAAAGCAACAGATAGATTTACCCCCAAAAAAGCACCACTCCCCTGCTTTTTTTTAAAAAAAAAATTTTTTTTTCAACGTTTATTTATTTTTGGGACAGAGAGAGACAGAGCATGAACAGGGGAAGGGCAGAGAGAGAGGGAGACACAGAATCGGAAACAGGCTCCAGGCTCTGAGCCATCAGCCCAGAGCCTGACGCGGGGCTCCAACTCACGGACCGCGAGATCGTGACCTGGCTGAAGTCGGACGCTTAACCGACTGCGCCACCCAGGCGCCCCTCCACTCCCCTGCTTTTAACCCATTAGGTGCATTCCTAGACACTAACTACCATTGACCTGGTACTAAGTGCTAAAGGAAAATGACTAATCCAATCCCTCTAGTAACAAATTTGCTCATCTCCCTCCTCCCATCCCCATATCAGCTCAGAGCATGTATCTGTTCAAAATTATGACCTGCTTATAATGACCTTAAATTTCTGAAATCAGGCCTTCTTTACACAACCAGAAAAGCTGGAATTAGAATAGGGGTAGAAGAAGTGGGCATTTTCCCTTTGCCTTTAACGTGATTAGGTCTGTACTGGCAGAGATGCACGTGGATCAGTGGTTTGAGAGTGCACAGTTACTTTGAAGGACTCTCCTACTAAACATACCATGACCTCAGTCAGGATCTAACCTAGCAAGGTGGCAGTGAGCAGTGCCACCTTATTTCTAACCTTGGGAAAGGCCTGGAGCCTGACCAGGAGTGTCCACTCCCTCCTCCTCCTCCTCCTCCTCCTCCTCCTCCTCCTCCTCCTCCTCCCACCTCTAGTGACCTCCAAACAGGTAAAGCAGTGTATGTGGAGAGCTGAGGGAGAGCAGGTGCCCAGATGGAGAACGGAGAGCCTGCCCTCTCCGAAGCCAAGCTAACTACTGCTGTTTGTTTCCAAACTGTCTTCATCCTTTTAGCCAGTAATTTCAGTTTCCTTTTTTCCCTTAAATTCTCGAGAACTTTGCTATATGTGCAGAGATGGGTATCTTATAGATACTCTTTTAAAGGAGAGTATCACGCAGCAAGAATGGAACTTGGCAGAGCTGGTTTTTCAAAAGAATTATTTTACAGTCCAAATGATATCTTTTTGTATGCAATTTCCCACTAGTAAATCTGGGGTGGGGGTGGGAAAAAAAAAAGCCTTCCTTAATGGTGCTTTTCTTCCCTTGGACAATCAAGGGCAAAACTATAAAGAGCTGACAGATGGCAACCATCCCTACCCCTTCACAGCACAATGTGTTATTAGCAATTAAATGTGCTTTTATCTGGTCTCTGGTCAACACAACTGTCATGCTCTCAGGATTTTATGTTTCCATTGTGATGCTAATTTGTTGAGATGGCTTTCTGGGTAATTTCATATTGCTCTTGTTACTTAATTTCAAAGATGATAAAATAATAATAGCTCTGTGTGCTGATGGATGCATTAACTGATGTCTCCATAGCTATGGCAACCCTTTGATAATAAGCTTTATAGTGTATAAATGCCAGCTGAGTGTGTTATTGTGGTTGGACACCTTTTTCCAAAGAGCTCAGCGCCCTGATCCCAGTAATCTTCATAACCGTGGTGAGGTAAGACAACAAATTTTTTTAAGTCCCCTGTTTTCCTTTTCTCTAGGAAATCTAAGAGATCTAAGATATTATAAGAGATCTAAGAGATACAAGAGATGTTTAGAAGGGAGTCCATGACTGCTCAGTAAGCCATTGAAAGGTTTAAGCAAAAGAGTAACGTGAGCCGACACTAAAACCCATCCTTATAGTACCAGAGGAGGAATCATGGTGGTTTCCCAGCTATTAACGATTTCATTGTTTCAGTATTAGAGAAATTTATATGCTCCTTTCTGGTTTAGGTCAGTGGGTTACCAACCCCAGATCTAAGCTGGCAACTAGATGGAAAACCTATACGCCCCGACAGCGCTCACAAGATGCTCGTGCGTGAGAACGGGGTGCACTCTCTGATCATAGAGCCAGTCACGTCACGAGATGCTGGCATCTACACATGTATAGCCACTAATCGAGCAGGACAAAACTCATTCAGCCTGGAGCTTGTGGTTGCTGGTAAGCAAGTCTGTGAATTTTTTTCTCTCAGAATGAGTATCGGCTGTAAAAATGTAAATTGATCCTGCATTATTAACCAGTATGGAGAACACATAAAACTGCTGAAAAAAATAGAGTGTATCATCAAAGTAGCCAACTAGGACACAAGACTTACCAAATCAGAAACATAAATTGTTTTCAGTGTAGCCATTATTATTTATCTTTCCCTTCTCCCATTAGCCTGGCCAAGAGAGAGGAGGAATTTAGCAGCTGTTCTGGTCATTCTGTTTCTCATGTGTGAGTTGGCCTCCAGTGTTCCATAGAGGAGCAATGGCATCATGGATTCCAGAACCAAACTTACATATAGGATTTGGCTGATGCATACAGTGCTACCCAGTTTTTAAAGAGGCACTGGCTTCAAAATTCAAAACTTCTAAACATTATCATTTACCCCTAGTGTCACAGTCATATTCAAATTTGCTTTTTAATGAATCACATACTATTAAATTTTGTAAAAGTACATAATGTTATATAAAGTTTTACCCTTAGATAAGGAAGGTTTATAGTATCCTTAAGAGTTGAGCATCTATTATCTGTTCTCTTTTAAAAAAGAAACAGTGTTTATTTCTCATATCCCTATTTGCAAGGTGCTTCCTAACCACTGTATCACCTGGTCCTCATAAAAGCCCTAAGAGATAATTAGAGCAAATTTTCTTCCTCATTTTACAGGTGTAGAAATGAAGGAGTGTAAGCGACTCTCCCAGGGTCCTATTTAATAAACTGAGGGCCAGATTCCCATAGTCTGTTGACTCCTAGTGCTCTTCCCCACATGATGAGTCTTTATTTCTCTTTCAAGAAATAAAATAGCAATGAGAATAAAGCCCAGGAGGTCGTGGCTAAAATCCTGGATAATGATGCTAATTAAGGCACCAGGACATTTTTCACACACAAAAATCATAAATACCTGGGCTGTTGTAGTAGGTCTTAACTGTGCTTTTAAATTTTACATCAAGTATTTGATATTCCTACACAACTAGGATCAGTTTCATCCATTCCTCTAACCATCCCTCCTCCAACCAAAACTGTTCAGCATTCTCCTGTTTAATGTTCCCTTGGGTCATATCTGTCCTCAGGATGAGACTTGAAGGTCTGAAAGACACAGGCATCCTGGTGTGCCTGGTCAGCACTTGCATTAGAAAGGTGGCAGTGCACAGCGATTACAGGTGTCATGTCTTTGGCGTCAGATCTCAGTTCTAATCCCCACTCTCGTCCGCTGGCTATGTCCTTTGACACATACATAACATCTCTGCAACCCAATTCCCCCATGTGTAAAATAGGGACCATAATGCCTCACAGAACTTTTATAAGGATTATGTCATTTTAAATGTTTATTTTCGAGAGAAGAGAGAGCGTGAAATGGAGAGGAGCAGACAGATAGGGAGACACAGAATCAGAAGCAGGCTCCAGGCTCCCAGCTGTCAGCACAGAGCCCAACGCAGGGCACGAACCCACAAGCCGCAAGATCATGACCTGAGCTGAAGTTGGATGCCCAACCACCTGAGCCACCCAGGCGCCCCAAGGATTATGTCATTTTATAAGGATTAAATCATGCAAAGCTCTGTATCATCAGTTCCCTGTGTAGCAATGCTCCCAAATGGTGGATGTTCTTCCTACTGGAGAGTGGCTTTGACATTAAGGTTCATTTTATGCCTTGTATGCTCTTTTCAAACTGGGATCCAGAAAAAGAATATTGAGTGAGGTCTGGTCCCACTTTCCCTCAAACAGCCTAGGGCAGGAAACCATATGAAATACGGTTAATGAAATAAAAGTATAATCCTCTACATCATTCAAGGTCTTAGAGAGTCTTAGGTATTTGAAATTTTCAGGTAGAATTTTTATTCTCTTCACCTGTTTCTTCCCTAGCTGTTTTGCCTTGACATATTTGTCATCCCAAAGGAGAGGGTGGTTGATAAAAACATGCATCCTCAAGTTCATTATTGGGAGCTCAGAAGAAAATAATTAAACTTTATTCTTTTTCTGAAATTGTTTACACCTCAGATCTAAGAAAACAATTTCCCATTGGATAGTAATACTCAGAGTGTTATTAACAAATAGTTCTAACTTTTTCAGTTTAAGTCATAAAGTTGTCTCTTATGGCTTCCTTCCTTCAAGGTAATAATAAAGTTGTCTTTTTATAGCTTTCTTCAGAGAATACAAACCGGAGTTTATAATTTGGAAGATGTATATTCCTAGTTTATACATAACAATTTAAAGCTGCCAAATTTAGATAAAGATGTGTCCCCCACTTTTTCCCCTTTAAATTCTATGGTATGTCTCATTTAAGCCAAGACTTAACAAATCTTCATAGCAGACATTTCAGATTGCAGGAAGGGAATCTGAGTGGATCAAATTCCTAGAAAGACTTGTTCTCCTCAGAGTCACTAGGTGGCAGTGGTTGGTAAAGGCTGCGAGTGCTTGGTGACATAATTAGTAGTGAAGCCATCCCAGATGCTAGCAATGACTTAGGAGTGTCATGCAGCCTGTCAGACAGGCATTCTGTGGACCAGATGGCCAGTGGACTGTGTGGGCCTGTCAGACTTGAATTAATTGAGGAAATAAATGAGTGGAATGAAGCATAGGAACCTTTCTTGGTAAAAGAATAATTTGGAGAGAGGACTAGCATCCTAACCACCTGAAGTGAAAAATGGTACCATAAAATAAAAGGTCTGTTTAAGCGATATTTCTAAAAGCTTCTGGATTCTTTATAGTGCCACTTTTGTATATCACTGATACATCATGCATCTCATGTTTCCTTAGCTAAAGAGGCACACAAACCCCCTGTGTTTCTCGAGAAGCTGCAAAACACAGGAGTTGCGGATGGGTACCCCGTGCGACTGGAATGCCGTGTTTCGGGCATGCCACCGCCTCAGATATTTTGGAAGAAAGAAAATGAGTCACTCACTCACAGCACTGACCGAGTAAGGTGAGAATACACGATGACTTAACTTAATCCACACCTGCTCAATAGGCCCTAAGGATATATAAAGATGCACTTTATATAGCACATAAATCTGTGTAAGAGTCATGCTATTAATGATATCAAAGACAAAAATCACTCTTCACCCTAATGTATGATTAAGCTTTTGGAAGGAAGCCCTAATGGCATGTGATGAGGCACATTCTAACTTAATTTCATCGTGATTTTTGAGTGTTATGTCTAAAACAAAAGATGAATTCATTCGCTTCAGTGGCGATACAGAAACTATTCAGTGGGCTTTGTAAAGGCAATCCTCGACTAGAAATTAAGTGCGCACATTTATTCAACCTCTTGATGTCTGCTCTTCTCTCCCATTAACTTTAATGGGGCTAGCAGCCTTTCCAGAATAAGTATGACCCTATTATCCGCTACTTGCACAATTCTGTTTCTAATGATCTAATTAAAAATGATGCTTCGTGTCCAAAGCCACTCTTTAAAAATTTAGAACGCTAATGACTTTATCCATTTCTCCAGCATGCACCAGGATAATCATGGCTACATCTGCCTGCTCATTCAGGGAGCCACAAAAGAAGATGCTGGGTGGTATACAGTGTCAGCCAAGAATGAAGCAGGGATTGTGTCCTGTACTGCCAGGCTGGACGTTTACAGTGAGTGCCGCTTCATCTCATCTCATTGCATTTATTCGTTAAATCATGAAAAATTAGACATCGGGACAGCAAATCACATGACTTTTATATAAGCTTATAAACAACTCTAGCATTTTATTTGCCAAAAATTTCATACTGCTCTTTCTCTTTCTATTTATAGTTTCTCAACATTAATAGTGAACTACACCAGGAGAACAAATACCCAAGTATCATTCAGGAACTTTGCATTAGTAGCCAAATATGCATGTTTATTTCTCTGACTTTGGCTAGTCAGTTGTTGGCTTCCTTACTCAAGCATCCTTAGGAATTAACAGTAGGCAAAGACATAACCATGTTGTTCACATTTTCTTGTTACTGTGTTCTGCAAATGACTACCTCTTAACATTTCTTCCTGTATTATAATCCTATCACAGTGTCTTCATGCACTCTAAATGTGTGTACCATTGATCCTGGAATGCATACTTCTTGTGGCTTAGCGCTTTCCTCCTTAATATACATTAAGCAGCTTAGCAATAGGTTTGTGTTTGTGTATGAATATTTGTGTACACGCATCCTGAGTTATTCACGGACTAGTACAATAGCATTATGCGATCTATTGACGTAAAGAAAACTACTAGAAAAAATTAAGAACTGATTTTCAAACTTTACCTCTTCTTGAATAGGAAGTAACTTTGTGAGGTTCTTCAAGGTTGAGTGACCTCAACCTTCCCTACTGCCCAGTTTTTTTCAATTGATTAGTGTTAAAAACATCCATCCAGAATACACCTATTGTAATTATTATAGCATTTATACATTTTGAGCTTTGAAGATTTTTTTAAGAGGGAAAGAGTTGAGAATTAGGAATCTGAGTGACTATTTCGAAAGATTTCCTGTGCTGCAGTAAGTATTTAAAACAAACTACACCAAACTACTGTGTAGCTATTATAGTCCCACTACCCTGCAGTAAATCTGCAGCATATGAGGAAAATGCAAAACTGTGCTTAAATTTTAGGATTTCTACCATGACAAAGAACGTGTGTCTGGTACATATATAAAGACATACTGTATTTACTTGAAACATTTAAGTGCTTTCCAATTACATCTTGTTTATTTTAAAAATGTTATTTTTCCTTTTTCCTTTTTTATTGTAGCCCAGTGGCATCAGCAGCCACAGAGCACCAAGCCAAAAAAAGTACGGCCCTCAGCCAGTCGCTATGCAGCGCTTTCGGACCAGGGACTGGACATTAAAGCAGCCTTCCAACCTGAAGCCAGCCCGTCTCACCTGACACTGAACACTGGCTTGGTGGAAAGTGAGGACCTGTAATCCAACATTCTTGTTAAAGCTGAGACACTGAAACAACCATTGCCTTGACCAACATACTCCTTTGTCACATTACATAAAGGGCAAAAACATACCTTTGACTGTAAGAAATAAACACCAAAATAATATTTTTCTTACTTGATATACCAAATTTAGAGTTTAAGTAGGTGATGCTAATAGAAATGTACACATTGCACAGAAAATTCACATTCATCATCCAATTTAAAACTTTTGGAATTTCTGTGATGAAAGCGATCTGAAATGCCAAATGCTAATGGAAATCCACTGTTCAAAAGTAACCAGAATTTGTATTTTCAGACGTGCCTTTAAACACTAGCTATAGGTGCTACATAGCATGACAGTGTGGAATGCTTAACACGAGGCAGTTGTACAAGTTAATACTAAAATGACTCGAAATGGGCAGCGTATTCAGACAGCTACAGTGAACCAAGTGCAATATGTGGGGATGAAAAGGAAGAGGAAATGACAAATCCAAGTAAATGCCTTGTCTTTGCAAATTGTTTTATATTAAATCATAAGGAAGGAATTACTTGCCTTAAATCTTAATAAGGTTGATACCTTAGTTCTTAACTTTCTTTTTCTTTATGTGTAGTATTTTCTTCTCATGCTACCTTGGTAGGAAGCTTACTTACAGACCATATTAAAAGGCTAATTTAAATATAAATAATATAAAGTATCCTGAATAAAGCAGAACTATATTACAGTCCATTCCACGAAAGACACCCCCACTCACCCAAATGGCCAAGGCATATAGTATTCAGAGGAAAGACGGGCCTGGAAGGAGTAGGAAGAATGAAGGAAAATGCTACCGGCACACTTACGTTGTATTCATGGAGATAAAAGTCGATGGGCGGGAGACATGATAGAGGCCAGGCTTTTTTTTGGTTTTCCTCAAAATTAAAGTATAGGTGGAAAAACACTGCCACTCAAAAGTCAGGGGATCTAGGGGCAGCTGGGAGATTGGAGCACATGTGCTATGGAAGTTTCAGTGTGTCTGAAGTCTGTGTAGTAGCTGAAGAGGTTAGATGTGTTGAGCAAGTGGAAAATGGGCCGAGACTGCAAGATTGGCATCAAAGAGAAACTGCCTGTGGGAGCTAGTCTACTCGAGGGAAATGGATTCTTGGGAGAGACAAAAACAGGTTTGTGCCATAATCTATTTTTTTTCCCAATGACACCAATATGGTGAGTGAAAAACATTGGTTCACTTCCACGCTGCCATGAAACCTTGCCTTAAGGTGCTGGGTTCTGGGTAGTTTGTAAAGGCATCTCTGCAAAGACAGACTGCTTTTTGAATGCATATTGATCCTTGCAACAGCTAGATTGAGAGGATTCTGACCAGACTTGATGGCTTTAAGTCGGAACCAATAAACTTTAGAAAGGAGAAAAAACAATTTGGCCGGATATTATGGTATTATAAGACATGAGGTTTTAATGGTACTTTGCTATGAAAAGAAAACACTGTATTCCTTATGCAAAACACATATATCTTTCATTATTTATAATAAAAACGTTGAACTGTCTTAGCTCAGTTAATTCAATACGTAGTATTTTTTAAAATAATTTTATATCTGTGTACCACCCCATATATTTCATATTACTGCTTCACATGTACAGCTTTCTACTTTTTAAGAACACCAACCAACCAAGTTTTAAATGATTCATAGGCTTAATCACTGGGTGGCAGATGTTCTTTGCAGAGTGGTGCAAGTTTCTTTGACCACACTTAATATGCATTGCTAATATGGAATTTAAGATACCATACAAAGTCTTTCATGGACCTATCTATATTGTAGAATTATGACTTACGTCATTATCTTACTTGCCAAATTTTTCTGAATGTGACTGTTTGCTAATTTGCTGGGTTTGGGGTTAAGTAGCATTATTTGCCACCTTTTATGTTGTATTTATAAAAAAAGTACTATCATACTACTTTGGATTGTTGTGCTGGTGTAATGTGGATTTAACATCAATAAATATTTAACAAATAATAGTTGCAATTTTGTGAAGCAAAATATTCCATTGGTGTAGTTTTCTATTGGGGCTGTAATTAGTACAAACTTAGAAGCTTAAAATAACGTTTATTAGCTCACAGTTCTATAGGTCAGAAGAGCTGGGTTCTGTGCTCAGAGTTCTAGAAGGCTAACTTCTATCAACACATCCATGGGACTACATTCTCATCTAGAGCTCTCCCAAGCTCGTTTCTTTGCAGTTGCAGGACAGAGGTCTCAACGTAATCTGTCAGCTAGGAGCCGCTCCCCACTCCTACAGGCCACCTGCATTCCTTGCCATGTGGTCTCCTCCATTTTCAAAACCAGCAAACAGACTCTCCCTCAGGACAGATCCATCCCACGCCTTGATCTTGTAAGGAGCCCAGCCCCTTCTAAGGGGTCACCTGATCAAATCAAAACCAAGTGAATACCTCTCTTTCCTGATAATCACCTGGTTTTTTTATCTAATTACATATGCAAAATCTTTTCAAAGCAACACCTCAATCTGTGTTTGATTGGATAACTGAGAGAAGGTGTATATACACCAGGAGGTGGTGACATTGAGAGCCATCTTAGAATTCTGCCTACCACACCAGTTTATATAAAAATTTCCTCTAAAATTGAAAAACTAGCCGAATCACTGCTACACATCAGGCAAACAAGAGACAACCCACAGCAAAACAAATAGAAGAGGATGAAACAATCTTGCCATAAACCCCACCCCTGGTGCGGCAGCCTACAATCAGGAGGGAGCTCAAAATCGCGCTTCAAGGATCAAAGGATCTGAACCCACAGGAGCACCCTAACTTTTAAGACCAGCACCTGAGAGACAACCCCCAAAACACCTAGTTTCACAAGCCAACGGGACTTAACATCCACAAGACCCATAAGGCTATAGCAATCTGCCAAACACTTGTTAAAAGGCTCCCATGGGGTTGCCCACACTAGAGACCAGTGCAGAGGCCGCCCGCTGAAAAGTGCCCAGTCTTTCTGTGAAAGAAGCCTATTTGCTCACCTTAAAACTTCAGCATGAGGGGTGGACACCTGATTTAACAAACATCTAGGGGCCCACTGAAATAATCTCCAAAGACTGAGGCTGGTAGGTACCATCTGTCTGCTCACCCCCTGCCTCACTCTAGGTCGCCAGTATTCCCAGGAAGAGTTTATGCAAATGCCTGGCACCCTGATTTTTGCTGCTGCCACCCAGGAAACACCCCTTGATTGCCTGGCTGTGGTGGCTAGCGGAAGCAGATCCCATGGGACTATAACAGGGAAACCGTTCTCAACCACCTACTGCCTGAGGGCTGAGCAGAGACAGAATGAAACAGTCTCTCTGCTAGAGACGACTATTGCTTATCGTCATAGCTGCAGCCAGAGGGGCAGGCTTCTGACACACACACCTAAGAGCCAACTATAATCCTCTCCAGAGACGACCTCCAAGGCAAGGCCAATCACTTCCCACTCTCCCGCTGCTTCACTCTAGATTGCTGGTATCGCCCCCAAAGGAGCTTGGGCACATGTCTGATGCCCTGGTTTTTGCAGCTGCTGCCCAGAGGACACCCCTCAACAGCCTGTCTCTGGTGGCCAATAGGATTTACATTCAGGAGCCCCATAAGGCTGTAATGAAGGAAATTCGTAACCAGCTATCCCTCCCACAAGATACAGCATAGAGACAGCAGACTGAAAAGCACTGCCAGTCTCTCTGTGAAAGAGAGGACAATTAGCTTGTCATCATAGCTGTGCCCTGAGGGGAGGCTTGTAATTAAATACACATCTAGGCCAGCAGGCACTATCTTCACACTCCGCCTCCACCTGGCCCCAGTTCACCAGTATTTCTAAGAAAGGAGCTCGTATACACATCTGGTACCCCTGCTTTTCTGGCTCCTTTCCAGAGGGCACATCGCTTGACAGCCTAGCCCAGCCCTGGTGACCAGCAGGGCTTCAACAGAATGGTAGCACACAAAGAAATAGCTCTTAACTGGCTATAGCCCCAGGATTCAGTACAGAGGCAGCACATATGCCCTTCTCCCAGTCTTCCGCTGAAAGAGGTATATTTGTATACTTCAAATGTTGCTGAGAATCTGGCTTCCAAACAGCCTGAAACTAGGTGCTGACTGAGGTTCTTCTACAGTTGGCACAATGACAAGTCTTGGCACCAGCCCCAACTACTAGGAGCCACTAAGGATGAAGTAGGCCGCTTAGACAATATCAAAGGTTCGAGCTAGGGCAGGGTTGGACAATAAAATTCATCTCCTACACCAGGCCACTCCTTCAAGACTGGGATAGGTGGCTACTTTATCCAAAGCATAAAAACCAATACAGAGTGTCAAGGAAAATGAACACAGACAACATTCCAAAGAAAGAACCAGATAAAACAAGAAAAAGGCCTTAGCATAATGGAAATAAGTGACTTACCTATTAAGAGTTCAAAATAACATTCATAATTATGCTCACCAAGCATAGAGGAAGAATGAATGAACAAAGTGTGAACTTCAAAAAGAGGCAGAGAATATAAGTCAGTACCAAACAGAAGTCTCAAGGCTGAAGAATAAATTAACTGAAAAATACAAGAGGGGTTCAACAGAAGACTAGATGAAAAAAATTAGAAAACGTCATGGCAAAAAAAGACCAGATGAAGAAAAAAGGATCAGTGAACTTGAGGATAGGGCACAGGAACTCATTCAATCACAGCAGCAAAAAGAAAAAAATGAGAGAGTTAAGATAGCTTACGGGACTTGTGAGACAACATCACACTGATCAACACTTGCAGCATAGGGTCCCAGAGGAAAAAAGAGAGAGAAAGAGGGAAAAAAATTTATTTCAGGAATAAGGGCTAAAAGCTTCCCTAACCAGGGGAGGGAAACCGACATCCAGACCCAAGAAGCCCACAGAATTCCAAAAAAGATGAACTCAAAGAGACCCACACCAAAACACATTATAACTAATGTGTCAAAAGTTAAAGGTATAGAGAAAATCTTAAAATCAGCAAGAGAA